TTGAATGTTCAAATGTAATACATTTTAATGTGCCTTATACATATCCTGTAAAATATTATAATCAACCAACTTAATTTCATCTGATGAAATAATATATTTGATGGGTCATAATAATGTTTTCTGGTAGTAATTCTTATGGCTTTTTTCTTTAAAATCAAGATGGGATCAGTAATTGTTTTACATGCTTTACCCCAGACTTCTACACAAATCAAATGTGGAACAGTTATTGAATCATATAGTGCTTTATCATTAAATGACTCCTTTACTTTATGCAGTACTGCAATAGATTTAGCTATTTTTGTTTTTAATAATTTACATGAGGTTTCCATGTCAAATTTCTCACTTACGCAAAATTGTTATGGAGTTATTATTATTTTTTAATTTATGGTTTAACTGATAAGTTTTCTTTTAGCAAAACTCTCTGGAAAACCTGAGCACCTCATGCCAACGGCACAGGACGTGTCTACATCCTGGCAGCACGCACACAGCCGTGGCTCCACAGGCTCACACGGGTGTGTTTTTAGAGACTCAACTACCCAAAACTATCGATAAATCAGAGGTCGTTTTAGGACGCCAGACTTTCTCCACGGGTGGTGAAACGAAAGAGAGAAGACAGTGGAGATGCTCCTCTCAGCTGCTGCACCTGAGTGTTTTCTTTCCACCTCCACCAAATTACCTTCATTCCACACAGCACCGGCTTCACTCTGCACAATGGGATTCCTACGGTCAAATCTGCAGAGGTTTTTTTTTTTTTTTTTTTGCACAATCAGCTGGTCTCAACAGCTGTGTTGTAAAACTTGTCTTTTCTCTTTCAGGGCTGCCGTCACCCTTCGTAGCTCCTCGCAGGTAAACTACATGTGCGATTAGATCTACCGTATGCAGGGACCGTGCTGAGTGCGCTTCACGTTTAAAGGTGTTTCTTTCACGGCAGAGCTCTACCCTCAGCGTACGCCAGCGTGGTTCCAGCCATCGTTCCAACAAAGCGCCTGCCGATGACCTTCACCAGCACCAAGCCCAGCAGCCGGCGCAGTTTCAGAAACAGTTCGACGATAGATTCGTCCGAGGCTTCCTCCATGTTGAACACAGACGTAACCAAAACCAAGAACCGGGAGGTTTTCCTCTGAAGCTTCAGCCATATTTTAACAWGTTATTTTTGTTGACGATCAAATTTCATCAGAGGAAAAACAGGAAAGATCTCTTCCTTCATCAGTGTAAGATAGTTTAACCTCCACTGTCATCTTTTTTTGTTTTTCAGATGAGTCACAGTTTAGATGTGACTGTGTCTTGTGAGCAACGTCAGAGAGACTGCAATCATGAAAACTCCCTGAGAGAAACTGAAAAGCAGGAAAGCTCGAGTTCCTCTATGGGGCGCCATAATATTTAACATTTAAATTTCACATTTAGCAAAAATAAGATAAATGTATGAACAGTGAGCTAAATAAAAATGAACTGTTACAGGAAAAAAAAAAAAGATAACACTCAGAAAATGAGCTAAATGATTAGAAATCTGTAATTTTTTGACGTTTCAAAAGTGAGCTAAATAATGAAAAATCTGTTAGTGACTTTTTTAACATTTCATTTTACACTTGGCACCCCATATTCTTCTCTCTTTTTTTATTACTTTCTATAAAATGCTTTTTATGCAGCTGATGTTGCTAATTTTGTGTCAAAAATCGGCAAACCAGCTGCCAAATAACTGTCACACAGCTATGCAAAAGTTATTTACTTCACATTTACAAAAACAAAAATACAATCTCATCAAAAGCAAATAAAATACATAAGAAAACCATTCAGCCGTGCAGAAAATAGATCATATTCCTCAGAAAATAGATCATATTCCTCAGAAAATAGATCATATTCCTCATGCAAATGTTGTCAAGTCTGCATAAGAGATCCTGTTCACCCATGAAACTCCAGATCACATCAGGATTCAAGCTGCTGGAGGTGAAACTGGCTTCTTGTGTGTCTAACCATGTCCCGCAGCGCCACAAACCCAGAGATAGCCTGAAGCAACCAGGAATAAAAACACAAGCAATCAACCATAATTATTAGATGATAAATTATTTTTAAAAAACGTGCAAAAACCATCATGTATTTTGTAAACGCACTGCTTAAAGTGGAAACTGTAGGACTAAATCGGTCAGTGTTTTGGAGAAGAATGCAGTCATACCTGTGTGAATATAAACACAGCCAGAACTATGTGAACGCCCCTTTCCAAAGGCTGTATGAGCACGGCTTCGTTAAAGAGCTGAAAAAAGATGAGCGGAAACTGCAGCAGGATGCTCAGCAACCAAAAGCCGGCCAACTCTGGAACCTTCCAAACAAAACAAAACATCGAAACACCGAGGATTATATTCGTGTTGACCGCTGCGCCGCGTCCGGGCATCAGCTCCGTCACCTCACCTTTTCATGCAGGTTTCCAGCGTAACCCAGATAYAGTCTGATGGCTTCGATCAGAGTCATCAGCAGCAGAACCGTCACAAGGATGAACTTGTAGTAGTCTGGCAAGGCGGGGTACTGACAGAAACAACAGTTACAATAAAAATATCATGTGGTTTGAGATAGTTAAATATATATAATTGTTGATTTCTAGGACTCATTATAAGTGGCTGTAATCTCAACAGATTGCAGAAACTTGGATGATAAGCTACATGCTGCAAGGCTGGCTATTAAATGATCCGGTTGCAGTTTTTGTGAATTTAAGTTCACCTTCATGTGAGTTACTTTTATATATAACAATAATCTATTTTAAAGATGGGATATTAAGTGGCCTGATGAAGCACAGGCTAAACCACCCACCCTTAATAATAATATTAATTACCTGAGGTACTAAAATGCTGATAAATTAGAGATTACATTCTGCTCAGATTAATGATAAGCTGATGCAGCTGTCTGACAGGTTAACAATGGTAAATTAAACTAAGTATTTGACCATGTTTGCCTAATTATGTTATGATAAATAGTAAATATACCCTTATATTCAAGATAGGTTTTTATAAAGCATTGAAGGATGAGATGTACAGTGTTTTTTAGACATTATTTCTGTATTTTAGTTGAATGTTTGGTAAGYTGCAGTGAATCAGGAAACATCAGGCTTGTTATCTTTGCTCCTGACTCTTTCCTACCTTGAGCTGAAGCATCACAGTTTCACTGATCCACCACAGCGGGAAGAACCAGATGTTGAAATACAAAGACATCTGGAGCGGGAGGCTGGACAGAACCTGTTTGTCTGAAAACACGAAAGCGGCTATGAGATAGACCTCAAAATCAATTTAATAATGTCAACAGGGAGACTGCTAAACACAGACAAACGAACGCTAGCATCAATGCTAACCCCAAAGTTAGCTGTTTTTCTTGTTTTACCGTTTGGCAAAAAMGTCTCGTCGCCTTTTGAGGTCGGCGCGCGACTCTGGTCGAATAAGACACTCCGAGAGAAGTCGTCTAARCGTTTTCTTAATGTATCGGGAAGCTCCATCTTATAAAGAAATAACAGAGCTTTCCTAAAACATCCATGAAAAAAAAAAACCACTCCGCCTTCTTCCTGACTGCGGGCGACGTAATGCCGCCGTCGTTTCCATGGAAACCAACACGGATGTAAAAAGTGAAAGGTTAAATGTAGACGTCTTATTTTGTCAGTAAAAATAGATGTCAGAACGAAAAATACCATGTTGACTTAAATTTCATAATAAAGTTTAAATACAAGTCAATTTAAAGGAGACATGATGCTTTTAAAGCTTTCTTTTTYCACATTTTAAAGTTGGGGTCTACATAAAGTAGAACTGCAAGCCTCTACGTAGCACTGGGAGAGACTAATCCAGATTTTCTGAACTCCTAGACTCAAGTAGGGGGCGGCTGTGGTAGAGTGGTTAGGGGGGGTCGCCGGTTCAATCCCTGTCCAGTCGACTCAGTCGTTGTGTCTTTGGGCAAGACACCCTACCTGCCTTGCGTACGGTGGCCGGTCGGGTTGGTGGTCAGAGGGTCTGGTGGCGCCTGTGTAAGGCAGCCTCGCTTCTGTCGCGCTTTGAGTGATAGAAAGGCGCTATATAAGTACAGTCCGTTTACCCACATAACAAAATGTGTGTATGGCAGCAATGGATCAGTGGTTAGCACTGTTGTCTCACAGCAAGAAGGTCCTGGGTTCGATCCCCAGTTCGGAGACTCTGTATGGAGTTTGCATGTTCTCCTTGTGCTGGTTTTCTCCAGGCGCTCTGGTTTAAACCCACACCCCAAAAATATGTACAATAGATTGCCTTCAGGCCCAGGCTGCAAAAGAAATCTGCGATCTCAGTGGGATCTGCTTGGTAAATAACGGTAAAATAAAATGTAATGTCTAAAAAAGTGGATTCTGCATAATGTCCCCTTTAAGTTAAAAGATGAGGCTATACTAGGAGCCGAAAGAGACAAGCTTCCCATCCCTTTCAGAGACCACATTAGGTTTCGGTCTATGGGAAAGTGAAAGTAAAGTGTCTGTGATTTTATCGGCTGAGAAATTGAAAGCAGCTGTGTGCAGTGAGAGAAGATGGCTGGAAGATGTGAAACTCCACTTTCTCTGTCCTGCTCTATTTGTTTGGATGTGTTGAAGAAGCCCGTGACTCTTCACTGTGGCCACAGCTACTGCATGGACTGTTTTAACAATGTCTGGGACCTCAGGGATCAGAGAGGTGGTTACAGATGTCCTCAGTGCAGACACACTTTCACCTCAAGGCYCGAGCTGAACAAGAACACGGTGCTGGCTGACCTGATGGTAAGAGTGGCAGAGACCGAAGGAGACACCTGGAGAGGATGAGTCCGGTTCAGGAGGTGTGGACTGTGATTTCTGCACCGTGAAGAAGCTGAAAGCTGTGAAGTCTTGCTTGGTGTGTCTGGCCTCTTACTGTGCCACACATGTTCAGCCTCACTACGGGTCTGCGGCTTTCAAGAGGCACAAACTGGTGGAAGTTTCAGCCTCCGTTCAGGAGCTGATCTGCTCCAAGCACGACAAGATGCTGGAAGTCTACTGCCGCACCGATGATGAATGCATTTGTTTGCTTTGAAAAACAAAAAGAAAAAAATTGTATAGGTCTTCTGGACGGGTTCTTCTCTAATGAAACGTTTCGTCTCTCCTCCAAGAGACTT